TGGAAGATGACAACCTTGGGCATCTTTCGGAGCATTGGAACGGCACTTCTCACCAGCAGGACAGACGGAGCTACAGTTACTAGCTGGCGATGGGGCTTTGATGGTTTCTGTAAAGTGGAATGCTCTCAAAATAAGCGTTTAGTTGAAAAAAAAAGAGAAAAGGCTGGTACGAATTGGTATATAGCTTCAGAACTATGAATTGAAATATTGTAGTTTGAGGCAAGACGTCGCTCTTTATAGCTCAAAAGCAAGCCTTCACAGTTATTCAAGGCAGGCATTCAGGCGGAGAAAGCTAATATTTCTGAGTGAACTGAAAAGTAGCCTTACTAAACTATTTCTTCGTGATTCTGTTTTTTTTTCGTAATCTGCAGCACCGTTGTCGGAGCCAAAGGGGGGAGGGGAGATTTATATTTCTTCTATCTACACCGCTTTGAACAAGGGTAACTGTAAGACTCAATCGTTAGTAACGGCCAAATCAATCGAACAGACCAGACAATAACAAACATGGGTATCTGCTTGTATAAACTGTTTACGAAAGTATAATGAATTTGTGACAGCGTTTAGATTCGCGACAAGCTAAAACAAGCAAAAAAATTAAATTGAGGAAATTGCATATCACCGACGGGAGTCATCATGAGACTGTTGCGTAATCACTCAGCGATGAGTGAGTCAGTCGAAAATTATTCAGCCGAGTCACTCATTGAAAGGAGGCTTAGTGGATTGTCGAAAATTATTCACGATTAGAACAAGATGTTATTGGTAGACCGGAAACTAAAGGAGTGAAAAAGGTTGTGACCGGTTTTTTAGTTATACTGTGATAAACTCTCAAGCTGCTGGATGATGATCATTTTATTTTACTTCATTGATTTTACCTCCAATCGCACAAAGATTTACACAGGGGCGTTGGGTACATAACACAAGAAACGAAAAAAAAAATGTTATACATATACGAAGATACGATGTGAGACTACTACATCTGAATGCATATGAAGACACGATGAGAAATACAGAGAAAAGAAGAGATAAGAAAGTGCGTGAAAAACGTCCTTACTTGTCATGAAGAAAAGTAACGAGAGTATTTACGCTTGAGAAAATGGGGATTCCGCGCATAAATGGATTATCAATGTCGCAAGTATGCACAGTAAAGGACTTGAATCTCAGAATACCGTAGCATATTCATAATGTTCAGGTAAGGTAGATGCGTTGGCGACCAGTTAACTTTCTCATGACACAGAATGTCCCATGGGGCACGCACCGCATTTGCAGTTAGGCCTGAAGCACCCTTTGTAGTCCACAGGGGATCCGAGAACGCACTCCTGATCAGGTGGACACCGCTTGTGGCAGTGCTCGGGGACTGTTGAGAGGAAAAAAAAAAAGTCTCTACCGGTTGAGCATTAAAGACCAGACCAACGAATTAGGTATAGGGAAGTGTGCAACTGGCATCATTAAGCAGCTCTATACTACGGGTGATCATAAACGTGCGAAAGGGAGACGGCGGGGAGAGAGGGAGGGGGCGGCACGCAAAGCTCGCGCCATGCTTTTACTGAGGCTTATCTGTCACGTCCATGTTCAAAGAGAAAGGTTATGGCAACGCTGTTTTTTTTTGACGAGAATGGCGGCGGAAGGCCGCTGACAATAGTTTGTTCTCAATCAATCAATCAATCAATCAATCAATCAATCAATCAATCAATCAATCAATAAATATATCAATCAATGCATTAATTATATTTTTGTCCACTTGAACAGCAGATAGAGGAGCGGAGAATTGAAGCTGCTTTTCGACAGCTTAACGAGCTCGCCGCCCCCATTACGAGTAGTGAATTTAATTCAATTTGAACTTTATTCAGACAGTCATTGTCCATGTTGAAGGGGCTAAACGGAGATATGACTGCCTGAGAAAGGCCCCTTAACCATACACTGCTAAAGGTGCAAAAAACCACGGAACATGTGCAAGTACAGGTAACAGTATAAGATCAACATACAATCACTGCAGCACAACGATAGTTACGTTTTTACATTCAAATAAAAAAAAAACGTTTTTAATTGTACATCATCGTAATGATGCCCCCCAGATTCTGTTTACTTGCTATTTTTACTCACGGAAAGTGAGAGACCAAAGGTAGGTCATTGCTTCATTTTCATTGTTTTCATCCATTGTGAAGCACAAAGTTGCTTGAAATTAAGCAACGGGGAAGGGCACAGCAATGAACACTTTCTTCCTACCGTCGAACATTGCTTCCACACCGTCTTATCATATTTGCGTACCGTATTTATACCACTTACTAAAAATTCTACTGTTGACGTGAGGTAAAGCTTATAACTCGACCAAACAGGCCAGGTGTCACAAAACGAGCGCTCAAAAAAAAAAAAAAAGGCGCGCCACCAAATTCTCGCGACGAAACGCCGGAGTGGCGCCGCGAGGTCAACGATAAAAAAAGAAAACAAACATCTAAAGACTCCCCGGGCGCGCGACTCTCTCCCCTCGGAAGCGTAGGTTCGCCGACGAACCTCCTCACCCCACATCGGTGGCCGAGCAAGCTCTCGAAATTTCTAGATGGAAAGGGGCGTGGTGATGTCGGGTTGAGTCATCCGTCGCGGACGGCCCGCGTACCGTCTCGCACTTTCCCCCGGCCTTCGCTGCGCGTCGCGCCGACGAAATGATGAGAACTTTCTGGAATGGCGCGCGGAATGTATTTAACCGAGCAGCGGGGATGGGAGATCAGGAGAAGACGGAAGTTAGCGCCAGAGCGCGTAGGGATTCCGCCGTGTAGTCGGCGAAGGTTTTGTCCGTAGAGACAAAGCAGGAGAAGAAGATGATTTCCACCTGATGGGTGACGACTCGAGCTACAGGCAAGAGTGTGTGTTTACCGCTATCGAGCGAAGACGCGTGGGAACAGCTGCGTGTGTGAAGCCGACGTGTTTCCGGCGAAGAAGTTTGAAGCTTGGAGAGTGGCCAATTGAAGACGCGAGGTTTTCCTGGAAGAGAAACTTCGGGGCAGCGGAACGACAGAGGTTTCCTGGAAGAGAAACTTCGGGGGCAGCGGAACGACAACAACACTGGACTTTGAGTGAGTGATTCTCGGAAGAGTATCATCCAGACTTTTGTTCCAAGAACTTTGGACTGAATAGGTTTTCTATCTCTTTAGTCTTTAAGTGTCTTGGTTGTTCAATGCATACGACTGCATTGTAGTGCGTATTGTTGTCTGTGTCCGTTGTTTCGAGTGTGGCTGATTGTACTGTGTAGTACGTTGTTTGATTGGTGACATATTGTACTCAACTATTATGGAGTGTGCATACTTGTGTATTGTTTTTGATCTGCCATTATTGAGAATATAATTTTGTTTTGTTCATCAACTCTCGGCTCTGACTTGTTCTTTGGGCCACAGCCGGCGTCCGCTGGCGCGCCAAAAAGGACCACTTCTAAATTGTCCACGCTTTCGTGGTGCGGTTCGGGGGGCCGATACTTCGGCCCTTGGAATTAGCCCGACGATCGCCTCCCTAATTAACGGGACCTGTGTGACACCAGGGGCTTTGTCAAATTTTTTCGAGTACCTTTTTAGTTGGAAAGGGGCGTGCCCTCTTGATTGAAATGGTCATTTTTCGCTCTTTATACCATGGCGAAAAAAATTACAAAAAAAATTACGCGTGGTTGGGGTTACGTGCTCTGCGTTTACCTTATAAGCTCCTGAAACCGGCCGATGTAGCAATGACTGGTACTATTGAGTGGGCTCTTTCGGTAAAGAACAGAAGAAGTATTGCAGATATCTGGCCGGACGTGGATAAACAGCGCAGTCACACTCACAGCAGGGGCATCCAGGTTCAAAGCAGCCCTTTTCGTCCCTCTCCGAGGATGGGTGGCAGAAGAAGTGCGGACTACGGCACGGGTTCACACAGGCCTCCGGGTTGCCCGGTGCAAGTTGCGCAGGGCCGGCATTGCCCGCTAGAAGCGGGGAGGAAGAAATATGTACACAGTGCTATTTGAAAGTATACGTTTGCTCGCGAAAAAAAAAAAGCGTGGTACGACTTTAAAAGCGCACTATGAGTGGCGTAAGCGAAAAATATTATTCGTGAGAAGATGTGCGTGAGTTTCGTTTATTTTGCCGACCCACGGAGGCAGAGCAACTTTCTTTACGGTCACTTCGCTCATCCAGAGAGTCTTAATGTAGACGAGAAATAAGTTAAGATATGCAGTATATTGCAACTCGTACGCAAATATTCATCTTGACAGTAAACGCTTACACTATGCGTAATAAAAAAGTAACATTTGAGTTTGAAATGCAATAAGCCTAACATGTGCGTTATGTAAAAATAGAACAAGACATTCTATAATATATAATGCTACAGAAGATTAATTATAGGCACTGCAATAGATGAAAGACGAAGCTATAACCGTTCGTGTAGCTGCTAATAGTGCAACCGCAATTCTGAGATAGAATGGGCATCGACAGAAAGAAGCGAGCGTTCAGTCCCAGCGTAAAGTGAGATGTTCCAGTGCAAGAATTGATAGTTTGCAATAAGTATTATTTTATCCTGTAAACAGAATAAAACTCCCCATATTTAATCTAGCTCCATCCGACGCGGAATTCATAGCTTAGGTTTCGTTTAAGAGTTCATCGATAAATGCTCATCATTCGCCAGAACTTTGGCTGAGGGGCCGTGACACCTATATAGTTTCTACCATAATCTGTCGTATGTGGGTTAATTCTCGCGTGTTCGCAAATAAGCTGGCAAAATTTCAGAGCATTTGGTTCGCCACTCAATTGACAAATGAATATTTTTATAGAGACAAGAAGGACACGATAATTATTGCGCGAGAACGGAACGACGACGTCTTTGTCGTCGTTCTGTTCTCACGCTATAACTATCGTCATGTCATACCAACTAGCCCAAACTGCCACACTTCTAATTCACTAGAAGACGATGGCCCCGCTCCATGGAGCGTATGACGTCACACACGCCTTGGCAATATGCTGGTCGCCGGGGTTTATAGCCGCTGACCCGAAGTTGAAATTGATGTTCAAGCTTACTTCACGCAAATGCAGAAGGAAAAAAAGTACACTTTGCCAAGGGGACCAGCAAAAAAAAACATAAGCCTAAAGAACAATAAAAATATATAGGGGACACAATCGAAGGAGTCCGAGGACGGAGCACTGATCGGAAAGAGCTACACGATGCCAGGAAATCGCGGAAGGAGGGCCGATCGGCGAGAGCGGCGCTGGTGTCGGAGATCGCGGGCCACACAACCGTTCAGCACGGAATCCTGCAAGCGAGTCCCGAACAAGCTCCGTAGGTAGGGTGAAGTGATGGTTTCGAGCGTTTTGAGGGGTGTGGGCAGAACGAAGAAAATTGGCAGATCCCAGGTGATATGCGAAGCACGAATGGGAAATGTTGATATGTCACTTTAAAATCAGCGCAACGTTACGAGAGGAGGCAAATGCTGCCGTTCACGACTTCCGTGTCATAATTATCATGTTTGCATGTGTTGTTTACCTTCGTCATCTATTCGTAACAGGATACCAAAATTTAGTATATGGGGAGCTAGCGAAACGGCCGCGAGCACGCTATGAGCGTGAAATGTGGTCATGTTCTTGCATGACACGCGGGTCAGGATTATCATGTTTGCACCAACCAGTCATATATTTCGTCATCCAACGACGTCACGTAACACCGAATTTGCTTCATGTGGAGCTAGCAAAACGGCAGCGAGTGCATCACGAAAGGCTCACTATACTCCAATGTAGCGTTGACGAGCGTGCACGCTGGGCACAGCGACGCTACGCTATTAAAACGCGAGCACTCTATGGTCAGACGCCAGGCGCGACGAGCGTCCATCGGCGCGGCCCGACGGCAAGCGGCGCGAAGTGCGACATGCTGCATTTCGCGCCTATGCGTTACCCAGACAGCACTGCGTCTCCCTCTTTTCGTGACGGAGGGACGCCGGACGCGCTGAAACGCGTATGCGTCAAAGCAACGTAGCGCTGCGCGCTCCTGCGAGTGTATGGCAGGACCTGCGCCTAGCGAGGCAACGCCACCGTGACGCGACGAAATGAACGCCGGTGAGGACGCGCATCACGTCACGTCGAAATGTATTGGCGCCTTGTCTGTGCAATGTAGTCATGTTCTCACATGACACGCATCTCATTATTATCATGTTTGCACCTGTCACATACCTTCGTCATCTATTGGCGTCACGCAATACCAAATTTGGCTTATGTGAAGCTAGTGAAATGGCCGCAAGCTCATCATCAGTGTGGCATGTAGTTATGTTGTTACCCGACACGCATGTCGTGATTATCATGTTTGGATGTGTCATTTACCTATGTCGTCCATTCGCGTCACGTAATACCGAGTTTGGTATAAGTGAAGCTAGCGAAACGGCCGCCAGCGCATCATAAACGTGGCATGTAGTCATGTTGTTACATGACACGCATTTCACGATTATCATGTTTGCACCTGTCACATTCCTTTGTAATCAATTCACGTACTGTGATACGAAATTCGGTATATGTGACGCTAGCGAAACGGCCGCCAGCGCATCATGGGTGTAACATGTAGTCATGTTGTTACATGACACGCATGTCATGATTTTCATGTTAGGGTATGTCGCTCGTGTTCGCCATGCAATCATGTCATACCATACCAGTTTTGCAACATGCAATGTGAACGAAACCACCGCAAGAGCTGCAGGACCATGAAATGTAAATTATGACATTTATGACAGATATGTCATAATTTTCATGTTATGACTAGTCAAATGTGTTCTTTATACAGTCATGTTATGCCATACCAAGTTTGGTATCGATACCATTATCGAAAGAACCAGGAGAGCTAAAAGTCGTAGGCGGCTAGATAGATAGATAGATAAATAGATAGATAGATAGATAGATAGATAGAATATAGATAGATAGATAGATAGATAGATAGATAAGATAGATAGATAGATAGATAGATAGATAGATAGATAGATAGATAGATAGATAGATAGATAGATAGATAGATAGATAGATATGCTTAAAGTAGCCGAAGTTCGCTAAGAAATGCTTCGCATTTAAAAACGTCCGACTTCTATAAGCATAAATTCAACCAAAATGACACAAATCTTAGTGTAACGTTACCAGTGAATAACAAAGTAAGCACAATTTAATGCTACCACATGCAAGTGACTTGTGCATAATAAACCAAGAGACGACCAACTTCTTGGACTCCTTTTAGGCTACAATATTTTTTTACAGTCCACCGTGTCGATGAAAGGACGAATCCGATAATAGAAAAATAACAGTTCGTTTCACCAGCAGGAGCATCGGTCGAGCATACTGACGCCACGCTCGTATGAGTAGTGAAGCAAATGAGCATCTTTCACGCTTGGCCGCTTGGTTTTGTAGCTGCCAACACCACTGAAGTAATCCTCCAGTGACGCTGCCATGACGCTACAGTGGAGCTGGGAGACGTTGCGCAGCCGTGTCACGTTGGGCTAGAAGATGACGAACGGAGAGTGCACCAATTTATGCACACTGTGTGTCGCTACTCATGATATACGTTATAGGCGTAATAGTTGTTTTACTCCACTTTTTTTTTGCTGGAACCACGAATTAATGATTGACCATGTCATGGTCCCTTTACCCGTTGCCGATGCAAGCTCTCACCCTGTGCCACTGCCGCGTCGCGGTAGCTGATGAAGCCGACGATCAGGAAGACGATCACGACGACGACTACAGACATCAGACCGACGACGAGGCACAGCTTGCCGCTTCGCTTGCGGTACACGCCGCCTCTGCCACCGCTGTACTCCACGCTGTCGCTGTCGCTGAATACCGGGTAGAACGAACAAAAGGAAGCGAGGTTCAACGAACCTCTTCAGCTCGTAATCATAATTACACTCGAAGGGGGCGATTTCGATCCCGACCGTGGCGGTCGGATTTGGATGGAAACGTAATGTTGGGAGTCCCCGTGTTGTGTGAGATGCCCGCGCACGTAAAAAAAAAAAAAAACAACAGATGGTCAAAATCATAGAGTTTCTCGAAATTAACTAGAGGGCACTCTGGCGCTGCGATCGTTCAGTGACCATGGGAATGATGGGTAGTACACGCATTTGCCTAGTCTTCGTACTTGCAGGCGGCGAATTGTACTTGCGGCTTCGTTTACTGCTGTGTTTCGGTTTTGTTTTGAAAGAAAGATTCAACCCCTTTTGAACTTTCTGACCTAATTTGGAAAAATAAGTCGAAAAAGATAGTGTGGTGAAGCGAAATTTCTGAACATTTGCCGATTTTCGTTTTGTGAGGAAAAAAAGCTCTAAGCCACATGAACACACACGGAGCCAAAGGCAGGCCAGAAGTACGAAGATTAGATAAAATGTCTGTATACTACCCATCATTCCCATGCTCGTTGAAGTGTCGTGCGTTGCAGCTCCCGTAGACACTAGCGCCAAAGTTCCCTCTAGTAAGTATTGTAGGAAACTCTATGATCAAAATTGTACAGAGCCCTCCACAACGCCGTGCTTCATCCAACGCGGTTTCGGGATGTTAAGTCTAAGCGATGATTATATTAACATCATCAGCGATAACACTGTATAAGGTTCTACGTGTCAAAGCCACGATAAGATTATAAATCATGCCGTAAAAGACGGATCCGAATAATCTTGACCATCATCTGGTGCCTTTTGACGTGCACTAACACATCAAAGTACGCAGGCCTCTAACATTTCGCCTCCACCAAGCGATAACCGCGGTCAGGGTCGAACCCGCGTCCTTCGGGTCAGCATGCGAGCATCGCAACCGCTACACCGCAACCGCTATTTTTCGCGCTACGTGATCAGTCATGTATCACCAACACGCCCAACTTCAGACTCTTGTCGCTACACACAACCGCTTCGGACACCGCTTGCTCTTTGTCACAACTGACTTCTGAATACGCACTTTCGATCATGATTGCTTTCTACTTCCGGTTCCCACTTCCGGTTTCTGACTTTATGTTTGTGGATAAGAAGAAGTTTTCATGTCTATCGAGTCCAGCAGTGCAAGTTGAGCAAAGTGCCAATTTTTTTTCGTTTTTTTACTTAGATTAGTTGCGCTAAGTTCCATATTGCTCGAGCCTGTTCAGGTCAGTTAATTTTTGAAATCGAAGAGATATTCTTCTTTATAAAAATCTTCGGCCCTGCATGTTCACCTATACATTGCATGCTGGGGCGTACGTTCGTTTATATATGATTCAACAACAACAACAACAACAACAACAACAACAACAACAACAACAACAACAACAACAACAACAACAACAACAACAACAACAACAACAACAACAACAACAACAACAACAACAACAACAACAACAACAACAACAACAACAACAACAACAGTTGTTTCTTTTGTACAGCTGAAGTGCAAAAAAAGGTAGAGTGGACGAAGGGGACAACGAGGACAAGCGCTAACTTCCAACTAATATTTTATTGCAAAGCACCAATAATATATAGAACTTATCTTCATTATTCCCTTCGTCCACTGTACACTTTTTTTGCGCTTCAGTTGTAGAAAAATGGAATACCAACTAGCCCGCTCCCACACATTGTTTCGTTTAATTTTCCATCATGTACAGGATCCTAAAGAAAGGCTATATAGCGAAGGGGAAGGTGACAAATATTTGCGACGGCCATTATCAACGTGCTTATAGTATGTGAAATAATAAGGCACAAATTTGAGTTCAGTGCAAAAGAATGGGTGGAAACAGGTAACACGGAAACTTTGAGAGGGGTAACTGAGAGCTAAATTCACACTTACTGTGGCTGGTCCTCTGAAAGTTAATAAATTGAGAATGGGCATTAGACGAACCCCATAAATAACTTCCGCACACGCAGTTTTTCGGGTGTGTTCATTTTTCGTAGACCAAAATGAATGTAGTTACGTAGGATATTCTACAGGTGTTCCCTTCCAATAGTATCGATACACGTACTCCTGCTCTATGCTGTATCATCATATATTGATCAGATTTTATGTACAGGCTGAGCAATATAGAAATATACATAATAGTTTGCAAGCGATGTGTATCGCGTGTGTTGCATCAAAATAACCTTTAACCACCGAAGAGTTGTTCAGTAGCTCCTCACGAATAATATGATATTCTGTCTTCTTGGTGTCTGTGACGAAAGGGCCCAGGAGAGTAACACGGCTGCAAGAGGTTATTGTTGGGCTAAGGCCCACTAAAGCCAGCAGCCCTCAAGGTAACACGGCTCAGCGTTTCTATAGGCACAATTATTAGCGCAAAAGTGCTTTAACCAGTGCGTGGAGTGAGTGTTACGGAGAGTGAGCTATTTCGAACAAGCGCTCAGTGGTGTTCGTACCAATCTAGGGAAAATGGTGGTTTTGTTTGCATCATGATGTTGTATTGCTATAAAACGACCCAGTATGAGCGTGGAGAAAAAAGGACATAAGCAAGGAAAAACAAAGTGAGGGTTTCGCCGCAAGGGCGAAGCCAAGCCTCCTGGCGAAGCAATGAATGCGATAGCATGCAAAATTATAGGCGATCTCCCCAAAGGAAACCCTGATGGGATGCGAAGCAGCAGCAATGTGCACGCCGTTGACCTGGTTGAAAAAGGCGTCGACGCGGGTGCCGGAAAACGGTTTGAAGCTGAATTCGGTGTATCGTTTACTCGAGCAAACGTTTACTTAAAACGCAAGGACATGGGATGCGGGTTGAGTTTCATGTAAGTTTCATCGCAGTTAAACGAGCCGCAAGAGTAGACATATTTAGTTGCGCTTCCGAAGCAGCCGTACGGACGCAGCTCGCTAGCCATTAGAGAGTTTTAGTACTGCGTACGCTGCGTACGTGGCGGCGTTGCGTACGTAAGGACGCCGCGTTCTGCGTAGTGCGCATGCGCAGACCGCAACGCGCACGTATCGCGCTACGTACGAAGCTGCTACGTACGCACGCATGAGATGCGTGCGTGCGTACGTATATGAGCTGATCGCGCCGCTCTCGAACAAGTTCGCGACAGCGCGAGACTTCGTTTTACAAAATGGCGGCATCGAAGGCAAGCACCGACCGGCTCTGTGGCTTAAAATATGGCCATAATCTGGCTAACACTTGGATTGGCTCACATTGGCTGTCAACAACACGTGCTTCTATTTTGATCTACCAGATGACGCAACACGCTTCACGCTCGTTACGTACGCGGGTACTACGGCGTACTAAAAGCCGATTAGTGGCAAACGACGCCACGTAACGCAAGGCGCTTGCGTGATGCGTACGTAGCACCATTCCGCAGTACTGAAACTCTCTAATGACAGGCTGCGTCCGTACGGCTGCTGCGGACGCACAATTCAACCAGTCTAGTGTTTCGACTCGACGTGTGGTTCAGCATTGCGGGTGGTGGAGAGGGTGAAGCGAGAGAGTAGTATGTTGCGAGCAGGTGGAGGGGCCGGCAGCTGCTGCGGGTAAGTAAGAGAGAGGGACGTCAACGTGCAGCTGCGACCTTGACCTACTTGGCACCGCTTCAACACCTGCGGCAAGGGGTTTTGTGCGGACGTACGGGACAGCGTTACACAGGCTCGTCAAAGAGCTGCTTCGCATCTTAAATGCAGGCGATTAGTTGCAGTACATGAAAAAGATGCAACAACACAGCCCAACTCACCCAGTCAGTAATACTTGTGTTAGTGCTTTTTTTTGTCCTTCACCCCCCCCCCCCCCTATTACGCCTACAACGCCGTTCTCTTGAACTTTTCGGAAATTAACACCTTTTTTTCCCCTTTAAACGTCCGCACATCTGCAACCTAGATTGATGAATTGATGAAGCCCGCCCTAGGTGGATACGAATGACGTTTTTTTTTTTTGCCTTGTATCTGTGATGTCACCTACCTTGGAATGTTCCACTATGCCAGGAAAGTACAAAGGATAGTGCTAAACCAGCATTCTGTGTTAGTGAACAGGTTCCACCAGAAAAGGTTGGCTGTTGTGTACTACCCTCGATAGTTGTCTCAGCTTAACTACGGCGTTCCTGGGAATAAAAAGTGCAGCGACGTGTACGACGGACGTTGATCTGGGCGTTTGAAATGAGGAAGTCACTTACCGCTATTGTTGGGCTGGGACGAAGACATCTTTGCGCTGTTTATCCTCACTGCCTACGCTTGGCACTGGTCGATGCTTCTTCTTCTGTCACGTGAGCTCGAACCACGAGCTGCCTTCATTGTCACCTAAATACCACGCAGCTTGTCTTTCAATGGCGGGGATTCTGTTGCTTGAGAAGACTGACTAATATCGACGAGGTTGATTGGTCGGACTGTAGTGAATAAAAAAAATGCATACAAAATAAATAAGATACTGCTGAATGTCATTTGATATGAATATCACACAAGCATAAAGTAGGAATGAAATCATATGTAGTGTACGCTCATCTGAACGAAAAGAAAGAAAAAAGCGGTTATTGCAAAGCAGGGGCTTAGGCAGAAGTATTTTTCGGGGAAGGGGGGGGGGGATGAGTGAGGTGTGGTGGTGCCGGGCAAGACAACTATGTCATGGAGAAAAAAATTTCAGACGGGGGTGGGGGTGGGGAAGGGTATGGACCCGATGTTTTTCACCCAGGCTACACAACTGTCGCAAACGGGTAAGTTTCTGAGAGATCGACACAAATTCGAATAATGTTTTTTTGGATTTGATTGAGTATTTTATAATTAATGCATACAGGACCCACTAGCCCGAAGAGGAACTGAGTTTTATTTTAACCTGTATAATTTACGAGAAACGAAATATCAAACATATTTAACATTGAGGGACTGATTTCATAACTAGTCGTTCTCGAAAGTTCATACGATGTAACGCGCAAATTTAATACGCACAGATGTTATACACAAAGAAGACAACTTGTGTATGGTCTATGTGCACAACGAAGGGTGAAGTAGCATTGGTTGAAACTTGTAGAGCGAAGAAAACTATTATGGAAAATTGTCTAAATATAGGTAATTTTACGATACTTAATACAAAATAGTTGCTACAAAGTTGATGAGATTTATCAACTATTTTTAAAATATGTTTTGATTCCTTCTCGCCTCAAAGATAGCTACATTTCTTATTTTAATAATACTCGTTGTTGGGCTAGTTGGTGCATTGCTTCAGAAAAAATTCCAGCCAATGAAATAACGAACACAGGAAAAGAAGAAGGAGACAGTCCACTGACTTGCGGGATGTTGTGCATAGACCAACAAATCGTTGTGTGAATTGCAGGGCCTGGGAACATCTTAAATCATTAGAGAAAGGAACCGACTCCAATTTAGCCATTGCCCGTGTGCTCAGATTTGGGCGCACGTTAAAGAACCCCAGGTGGTCTAAATTTCCGGAGCCCTCCACTACGGCGTCTCTCATAATCATATGGTGGTTTTGGGACGTTAAACCCCACAAATCAATCAATCAATCAATCAATCAATCAATCAATCAATCAATCAATCAATCAATCAATCAATCAATCAATCAATCAATCAATCAATCAATCAATCAATCAATCAATCAATCAATCAATCAATCAATCAATCAATCCAATTTAGCCATTCAGTGTAGACAGTGTAAATGTAAGCCAGTGCTCAACAAAATCAGGATTTTTGGCAGAAGCCATGAAAAATTGACACGTGAAATACTAGAAGCTTTTCACATTGCGAAGAATGGTGAAGCTTGGTGCGGTGATAGCTCCGTGGCACTTCGCAGGAAGGAGAAAAAAAAAAAACTTTCCTGGAATATTCTTTGTAATCTTCAGAGATTAGTATGGCGAGATTTGCATTGACTATTTGTGCGTCAGTTTACTGCATTTTGCAATTTTCGTTAAGAGCTTGTAGCTTGACCATGTGACAGACACGCGTACGTGAATAAGCAGTTGGTAGTCTAGCCGCCTTCCTGTCTCCTTCTCCGTTTCCTGAGTTTGTTATTTTATTGGCTAGAATTTTGACTGAAACATTTTTTATTATTGAATGCCTGAGCCAGAAAGGCTATTCATGATTGATCGATATGTGGACTTTAACGTCGCAAAACCACCAAATGATTATGAGAGACGCCGTAGTGGAGGGCTCCGGCAATTTCGACCACCTGGGGTTCTTTCACGTGCACCGAAATCTGAGCACACGGGACTACAACATTTCCGCCTCCATCGGAAATGCAGCCGCCACAGCCGGGATTCGATCCCGCGACCTGCGGGTCAGTAGCCGAGTACCTTAGCCACTAGACCATCGCGGTGGGGCAAGGCTGTTCATGAACACGCCCACATAAACGTTCGCAAAATTTGCGGTAAATATGCAGGCTGATATGAACGAGCAATGCTTATGCACAAATATTTTTTTCCCATCACTAAGCCATAAAGCATCTCTTCAGTGCGTCGTCAGAACAGCCCTTTCCTGTGTAGGTCGTCCGCGCATGCGTGCCAGCATCGATGAAGCACGCGCCGTAAGTTTTGCCATAGCCTCCTAGATTTCCTTTGCCTGCCGGAAGAGCGTGAAACGCCGGTCATCTATGGCGGCGCTGTCTACGTAGGGGTAAGGGTTTTTGTACTTGGCCTTGGAGATCGGCAGTTTTCGCGTTTGCTAGTAATTTCTGAGGATGCCCTGTATTGAAAAAGTTGTTTGCTGAATGAAGGCTGTCACTTACGTAGGGTTAACTATATTTAGGTTTACGCTTTTTAAAAAAATTTTTACGTTATTTTTGTTGCATATAGGCTCCAAAAACGTAAAAAACTTGTTGAAGACACCCCTACTTAGGTGGCGCCACTACCATAGTTCCGACGACGGCCGCTTTCCATGCGACCGCCGATAATCCGGCAGGCAAGGGAAATCTAGGAGGCTATGGTTTTGCTTGCCAAAACCGGATATCGGGAGTGAACCAAGGGACATCTGGTGTCACAGACATGCAAATGTTTACCCCCCTTCTGCCCCCAAAAAGTGCCAATGCCGGCCTCCACGAACGACGTTACTATTCTAGTAACGTTGTCCGCGACAGCCTACTGGTGCGCGGTGGGCAGTTTCAGAGGCAAGGACCACCAGTTTTGATTTGGGCGATATCCCACTGGAGGGGCTGTTCGGACTGAAAAAAAAAAAAGCCGATTACTGCAAATTTCTTGAGAGTTCAGTTATGCATTCCTTGTAGCTAGTGTGGATGATTGAATCTCATGTTGCGTATAATGTCGCATTGAAAAAAAAAAAAGGCTTCCCCATGTGCCACATAGTTACAAGCCATCACCTGTAACACGCAACTTTAAGCCACAATAACATTGCTAAGGTTTGGTGCATTGGTTCAAGTATTCTGGGCGTGCTAGGTGGACGCTGCTATGCGTGCAATCATATTAGTCGTCCTCTCTTTTAGCTTTACCTCTTCTATTCTTCTTCTGCCCTCTCCCACTTCCTCACGTAGGGTAGCGGACCGGGGGCAACTGGGTCAACCTCGCAGCTGTTTCTTTGTCTTTTTCTTAGCATCTCTTGTGGATGCAGCTGCCGATGATGACGAAAAATTACGGCTAAGTGCTTTGTTATGGATGGGCTTCTTTTTCTTCTCAACGCATCCTCCTCCTGTTTTTGCGCTTTTCCTTTCTTAATAATGTCTCCTAATCTGGGGTACCACTACTCAAACAAATTTTAATAGATTAATAATTTTACAAAAGAGAGCTGTCCGTTGCATTGAAAATCTTAAGCGAAATGACCACACAGCGCCATCCTTTTCAAAGCTTAATATACTCAGAATAGATCAGCTATTCCAACTAAGACTTGCAATGCATACACACAGGCAAATTTTGCATGACCCCCAAATCCTGTCCTCATCATCGTTATCTGTACACTCACAATATCACCTAAGGAAAAATAGACTCAGAACACCTATGTTCCGAACTAAATATGGTACTCAGACACTAGCCTATTCAAGGCCACATTTTCTGAATAATAATCGAGAAATCGCCAATATGATCCAAGACAACTGTTCGACATACAACCTACGGAAAAAAGTTAAAGATGACCTCTTGTTTAGCTCCTAATCTTCTCTTTATATTGTGCATTTGCTGTCTTTTGATTTTTTCCTATTTTGTTCTATACTGTTTTGTAACTTTGATCATCATCAGGGCTTGTATAAACATTTTCATGTCACGCACCATTAGTGTGTATCGAAAGTAACTATGCTACCTATTGTGTTTTGATCGCCTGTGCGCCTGTTCTTTTTTTGTTTTGTTTTTTTTTTGCCTTATGTTGTCTCCTGTATTTGCGCATGTACCGCGGCTTTCCACCCCTGAGCAATGTATGGGTAGGGGGGCCTTTGTCAGGCAGTTGCATCTGCCTTTAGCCCCTTCATCCCAGACCATGACTGTCTGAATAAACTTCTTATCTTATCTTATCTTAACCAATCCACGCCGCACGACCAATTCGCTCTATATTCAGCGTCGCTTCGTGCTGTCGATGAATTCATACTCGCTTTGTCGAATGCTACTTTCCTGCTTAGCTCAATCGAAGGAGTGACCACCCCGAAAATAGGTTGGTCCTGGGTTCGGTCCTCGAACCAATACGAATTTCGAAACAGTCAAATTGGTGGTTGTCCATTTTTTGTTACTCCATCAGGTTTCCAAACACCGGTATTTGAAAAACATTTATGCCCGTCATTTCACTGTGAATGAAAGCGATGCACCGCGAATTTTCCGTGGTGTGTCGAATTCGTCGTTTCGCGACATGCATCGTCTTGTCTGGCTTGCCGCATGCGATTGGTGTTTGAGTGCGCGATTATAATTGGGGTACTTAGGCGTGTCGTGATATACGCATCTGAGAAGGATGCGTATGTCATTTTTGCTTGGACCGTCTTGAGCAAACATCGCACGAGATCAGAGTCGAGCTAGTCAAGAAGGCGTACGAGACTGATGCAGAAATCACATAGGTTCACGGCACGTGCAGAAACGTAGCCAGAATTTTTTCAGAAGTCCGGCGGTGTCAACTCTCGTTGTTGACGTGTACCCGTACATACACACATCCAAAATGTGACAATTTCGAAGGCGGGGGGGGGGAGGGGGGCTTAACCACCCGAGTTTCTTCACGCCACTAACCTCGCATTGTACGAGAAAGACGACGGGTGCGTGTTTTTGCAAAACGGTGTTTAAAACGCTTCCGGGCAATCGGTTTCTGTCTTAACTTGCCGTACGTGTGTTTGTTCAAATGTCATTGAAAGTGGTGGTGCGTTGTGAAAGAGAAAAGTTGTCCTTACTGACAATTCAATATGAAGAAGCATGCAGCTTTTATTGGGTTATACGGCAGACATCTGCCGGCTACGTCGGCTTTCGGCAGTTACAAGGCGTATCTCACTGCTTTAATACCGGTGTCACACGGAAGCATTTGATTGCGATCAGGAACGGTCCGAATAAAACTCGATACGGATGAGGTGCTGCTTCACAGTCACACTTGATTGTGAACAGGTCCGGCACGGATCAAGTCGGTCGTGCTCTACTCCTGTCTATTTGGATTAGTCATCGTGATTTCACTGACCTGTCCATTAATTTCGGTCCGAATTAGGCGGTGCCGTTTGGGCGCAAGTAACTTATTGACCGTGATCAAAAAGTTTAATGAGGATCCAGCCTGATCGCGATCAAAAGTGCTCGTGTGACAGCGGAATAAGTGCTACCTCTCGACTTGCATTTTATTTCAACACAGGAGCACGCTTTGGTGGATTTAGAAGAAGTACGATTTATGACAGTTCAATGAAAACAAACAAACAAATACAGAGTGCGGGTAGCGAATTTTACTAGAAGTAACGAGCGATATACGGTCGCAAAAAAGGTTTCACGCAAGCACACGACAGTACACTTGGGTGGTAAATAAACAGGTGGCTTGCTAATTATAAATGACGAACAATTTACTGCATTCAGAAAGATGGCTCGGTAGGTCTATCTAGTAAATGTCCAAGTAACTTGTTGACAACGAATCCAATAGTTGCATCTGCGACTCTTTCTACGATTTTCTTCGATACGGACACAACGACTCGATGGATATGCTCATTGGTCTCATCGGCTGCGCCTTTGATTCCCTTCAGAGCCTCGATGAGGTCGCCACGGTGGTCCATGATGTAACGAGAAAGTTCTTCGGTTAGCAGTTCCTTCGCATCATCCGTGGTCATTGGTGGCCCACTCAGCGTGGCCGCTTGAACTTCTGCAACGCGAAAAAATAAACACAAAGTACACTAAAGTTCAATAGATGTGTAGGTGGAGGTGAGGGAAGTGGTTCACACAAACATTTATCTCTATTGTAAACGCACGTCTCCAGTGTTGAAGTCCACTCGCCGACCTACTTTTCGCGCTTCATTTGGTCGAATTGCGAATAAAACGAAATGTACGTCTTTTGAAAATGGTTGCTTACTATATGCTAGAATAGCCCTCGCGTCATATTCGTATGCTGTTTGGTTCGCGAATTCCGTATTCGCACACCTTAAAATGAAAGACAAGCGCTAAAGTCCTGATGCACATGGAATGATGAAAAGCTGTTGTGTTTAACGCCTTTAACTGCCTTTCCCGTATGAGCTCATTTTACGCTAGCATAAACATTTATCATAAAATGATTATTACACAATCAGATCAAGTCACCTATGCTTAAATTTGACTGTGTTTCACGAAGTAGTTGTAACATTTAAAAGTTTTAAAACAGAGGACATCAATGTCACAAGTACCGAAAACTTCTATAGAACAAGAAGGACAGTACTTGTGGACGCCGGTCGTTCGGCAAATCACATTGACCTGTAGGTTTAATAAAGACAGATATTGAACTTGAAACCTGCTTCTGATTTAATACATCACCGTAGGTGAACGGCAGCAGAAACGTGACTTGTGTAACGAAAAACGTGAGTCATAAACATTTCTTGTACTTACGGCACAAATGTCCCATGATGAGGAGAGTCAAAATGACGTAGGCATTCATGGCGAATGATCTGCGAACAAAAATATTATGTTACGCCGCACCGCAAGTTAAGCGAAACAGAAATGAAACATAGCAAACATGACAAAGGGGTTTTTCGAAATACGTATTTCATACGCAATTAGTTTTAGGATTTAATATGAAGGACCAGTCAGGCCGATTCCATCGTGACTTCAGGCTGTCGAGATTCGGAAATATATTCTCTTTCTAAGCACGCAAAAATTAGAATTCCCTTCCGTTGAAGTTGTTCGCATGAACTTCCCAGGCTATACATGCAACAATCTTTCTAGCAATGTAGAATCTGCGTATGACGCGGAAAAAGTCCAATTTTTATAAACAACTTCAAGAACTCGATGATAAATGCACGCCATCGACACAGTGACGCACCACGTGTGTTTAACCGGTGCAGATTTTTTTGGGGCACACAAAGAAGTTTATCAGGTTTGATTTCTATAATTGAATTTTATGTGACATAGCACAAACACCTTATTGAAAATAGAAATATTTACCTCATCTGTGTGAAGCTACCTGGCTCCGAAGTTGGTGAGCTTGATTTTTCCCTCCGTTCCCGCCACCTCAAAGGCCGCTTTGTGGTGTTCGAGAAAAATGCTAAATTTTTATAGCTTTGAGCAAGTGGAAGGTTTATGAACCTTCGTGCAACGTGCAGCAGGTGATAACATTGAACAATAGCCAATGAATACGTCCTGATAATGGAGGGAGGTTCGGAATACAAAAATATTATTTCCACGCTATGACATATCAATGCTGTAATAGATGTTTGTCTCTTCTCGGACAATACTTGAGAACGCCCATGTTACAATCCTAGGAGAGTCATAGGGTCGATCTGAAATCTATCATTTATATTATCTTCATGGTTATGTACCAATATCGGTCGCCACATTGAATTTCGCATTTGTCGTTTATTGACTTACAGATGAGCCGGTATATGAGGAAAATGAATTATTCTTTTGCTTATTTTTTCTGATACTAATACTGGATCACCGGGTATGACGTCTTTTTTTCTGGCCCCGCCGTGGTGGTCTAGTGGCTAAGGTACTCGGCTGCTGACCCGCAGGTCGCGGGTTCGATTTCCGGCTGCGGCGACTGCATTTCCGATGGAAGCGGAGATGTTGTAGGCCCGTGTGCTCAGATTTGGGCGCATGTTAAAGAACCCCAGGTGGTCGAAATTTCCGGAGCCCTCCACTACGGCGTCTCTCATAATCATAAGGTGGTTTTGGGACGTTAAACCCCACAAATCAATAAATCAACGTCTTTTTTATGAATACAAGCATTGTACCTATATGTTTGCGACTGTAGCAGCATTACCATAGAACACTTGGGTGCTTATTAAGGCAAGTATAGTTACGTTACCACTACACTGCTACGCGTCATTGTAGCGTAACGTTTTTAACTGCTTAGTGCATTATGTCCAGCCTGTGCTACGTAATGTACAAAGACAGTAATATAACTTGCACTTTTATGTAACACTTTTTACTGCTATGCGATACTTATTGCTGTTATTCCCTTTCAAACAACGCAACATTTGCCCTTTTTATTCACAAGTGGTCGCTCACCGCTGGGTTCTGAAATGTCTCTCTTTATCTCTGTAGTTTACGTCATTTCTTCACCCCCCCCCCCCCCCCCCTCCGATTGCTAGAGTAGGCAAACAGGACGTAGTCTTGGTGAAATGAAGCGCAATAAGCGGGATAAGAAAAGAAGGGACAGACTGGACGAAGACAGGATTCCCAAAAATAGCACGTTTGACGATTAGTTTTAGCTGTTGAGTGGGGAGTCGTGTGAAGGGTTCATTATTATGGGCGTCGAAATTTCATCGCAGCGCGCTCTTCCCTCCGCCCCCCATACTATTAGGAGAATGTATGAAGCAGATTTCTCAAACCCCCTCCTCCGGCCCCTTCGTTCCAATCAACAGCAAATGCGACATACAATGGACTGACTGATATACGTAATTTACAGCAGAGGCATACTTATGGACAATATGTTTCAGAGTCATTCTACGGATAACACAGAATTTTTACACGTGAAGGCTCAATTATTGCCCGAGTAAAGGCACACACCTACTCCAGCACTGTTATCTCTTAGAGTGAAACATGTTTGATATACCGTGAACTCACCTTATTACGAGGGCATAATCGTGAGTGCCTATTGTTTGTCGTTATCTCCCGCTGCACTGCACAAAGGTTGAGGAACCTCACACTAGCTTGCAACTATAGATATTGTGGACGTTTTTCGAACATCACACAGCTGCCATCGAGTTACTCGGAATAGAGATTAAAATAAATCCCGCCATTTTCGTCACCAGTTACGGTGACAATGGTGAGGTAAATATTTTCTGTCTATATCTCTTATAGCTCAAAAAGATGCTTTAAAGATGAAGTCCACCATGTTAATTCGAGTGTGTGCTAAAAATGTCCAGCAGTTAAACATGTGTAGTGATTAATGTTGGTTACCTTCTATTACCAATCAAAATTATTAGAACAGCGGCGCCGGGCCTCACCTGCGTCTTCTCTGGACCTAAATAACGTTATCATCAATGTAATCATAAAAATTTTGTGCAATGAAGAGCTGCACTGTTGTTTACAAAAAGATCACCAATTATATCAGCTACGAAGATGAAACAATTTCTATATATGAGAAAACCTAGTACTGTACACGTGTAAACACATATCTTTCCTTCACCTTGAATGGACCAGTGAACTTACGATAATAGGTTCCTGATAAGTCTTTAACCGTAAGTCCCCCGAGTAAGTGGACAAAAAATGCGGCTAACAAATTTATGCACGTAAGCTACATTAAACTTCTTTATTTCGCTTGATTTTCTATGCGGCATAACCTGGTGTTCTTTATCCACAGATAATTTGCTATGAAGGTTTACTACGTCTTGGCTTTTCTAATCCTGGGCCACTTGTGTCGTAAGTACGAACCTTGTTCAGTACCTTCCATATAATGGCTCAAACACCCAGCCACATTAGGTTCCTGGTGAAGAATGCCGCGATTACAGATTAAACACTGAGTGGGGGGTGTTCATGTATTCCCAATAATCGCGAACGAATGTAAGACGTGTTAAAATGTCCTGTTTGCTACTACACGTAAGAATACAAACTTGAGTGATTTGATAGGCGTTTATATTTGGTTAAAGCAGCCCACATGAGACGAGTATGAAGAAACACGAAATCGCAAAGCAGGTGCTGACACACAACCAAGCTTCATTAGGAAACAACAAGTAGATGTATATAACCGTCCATATATGTTCTTGTTATTTCCCAATGAAGCTTATTTGTGAGCCAGCACCTGTATTGTGCTCCTCTCTTTCTTCATGTTTGCGTTGTGCGTACTTTCTAAACTAAAGATGAAGGATTACTCGGAAACACTTGCTGCTGTGCTTCATAGTTACTTTCCAATGAAGGGTTGTAAATGATAGATATCAATATGATAGTAAGTTTGATCTAAAAGGGGTGGTCACCCACGAGGATAATTAAGAAATATGGTTGAGTGGTGACAGGTGCGCGCCTGGTGGCAATGCACATGAATTCTCTCCCTCCGCTATAAAAATAATTCAGAAAGATTTTATCAGATGTCCTTGCAAAATGAAAAGAAGTAAAGTTGAGTCGCATTCATAGAAATGCGAAAATCGGGAAATTTTTTTAAAGCAGTTGTGTAGCGGTACAATTGTCAGACCTGAAGTCAAGCTGAAAAAGACATAATAAAATGTTTGTTTGTCTTGTATGTTTTGCTATATTGTGTTCAAATATTTTACAGCACGCAAATGTCAGAGACAGAGGTTTATAGTTGTTCGATAACAATGTGTTACCTTTCTTAAGTATAAAATTGGCTTTCGTACTATTCGGGTCTAGGGCCGACGAAAATTGACGCAAGTATTTTCGAAACAATATAGCATGGTAATAAAAAAAAACACTGTACATCATCGTCGCAAAAAGGATATCGGTGTGCTTTCGGGCTGGGCAGATTGATTTTCATCAAACAGAAATGACCAGCTGAATATCTCTTTTTAGTAATGGACATTTATTTCAATAAGCGTGTCAATGAAGATGCCAACTGATATTCTTCGGAGTTTTCTTGGCTTTTAGTGAACACTGAATGTAAACAACTATTGAGCCTATTCGAAAGTTTCAGCGCTATTATTGCATAATTTCCAGTCCAGCTACATTCCACAATTATGTCACGTTTTTCTTAGGACAAACGACAAAGAAAGTGCCGCGCCAAATCCTATGGAGGGCGTGTGAGCGTTTATTTAAGAACGAGCGAACTGTGCAAGGTGTGGTCAAATCAGATCTGGTGGGCATATAGGTGGTCCTGACGCGACTGAGCGTTTACTCTGTCTTGTTTCTTTCCCAACACTTAGTTATACTATACAATACTATGCTATGCTATAGGATACTATACAACACCATACTGTATTGTACAAGTTTTATTGTTTTAAATGCGAAGCATTTCTTAGCGAGCTTTGGCGATTTTGATATCTATCTATCTATCTATCTATCTATCTATCTATCTATCTATCTATCTATCTATCTATCTATCTATCTATCTATCTATCTATCTATCTATCTATCTATCTATCTATCTATCTATCTATCTATCTATCTATCTATCTATCTATCTATCTATCTATCTATCTATCTATCTATCTATCTATCTATCTATCTATCTATCTATCTATCTATCTATCTATCTATCTATCTATCTATCTATCTATCTATCTATCTATCTATCTATCTATCTATCTATCTGTCTGTCTGTCTGTCTGTCTGTCTGTCTGTCTGTCTGTCTGTCCTGTCTGTCTGTCTGTCTGTCTGTCTGTCTGTCTGTCTGTCTGTCTGTCTGTCTGTCTGTCTGTCTGTCTGTCTGTCTGTCTGTCCGCCCGTCCGTCCATCCATCCATCCATCCATCCATCCATCCATCCATCCTCGCGTAGGGTAGCAAACCGGGGCAACCTGGTTACCGTGCAGCCGTCCCTTTGCCCTTTTATCTCCCTCTATTGTTGATGCGGTTGCCCATGACAATAGATAATTTACAGCCAAACGCTTCGTTATGGGTGGGCTTTTTTTTACTCTCCTCAGCACCTCATCCTCATTTTTTTTTGCGTTTTTATCTTAACATTCCGCCACCTTGCAGATTTCCACACAACCAATTTGCTCATTATTCAGTGTCACTTCGTACTGTTGAATAATTTGTCTTCACTTTGTCAACTGCTACTCTCCTGCTTAGCTTAGTCGGAGGAGTGACCACTCCGAAAAAATTACGGCATATTCACGGGGTGAATGATGATGAATGGGCGAAGCTCCGGAGGGATTCATCGGTAAACTGTGAATCTTCCGTGTAATTCGCCCAGTCGATCATCATGTAAAGACGTGAGAAACGCTGTGTGTGTATATACACAAATCAACTTTTATTTGTTCTTAGACGATGGATGGCTTGCGATGTCCCTTCATTATGACGGCTTTATGGTCTGTGAAATGAAGGGAGAGCGGTTCCTGTATGGGTTGCAGTGGGCAATTTGCAAATACTAGGTCTATGCATGTTCCTCGGATCGTGGTAGGTTTCATATGGTCAAACGATATACGTCTGAGTGCATATCTAGAAGCCATATGTTGGATAAGCCAATTATTGTCTATGATAGCCACGTTAAAGTCTCCAAGTAGTACAAATGGTCCATTCTTGTATTTGTTCTCATAATTTCGTAACGCAGGGTCTATGAATGTCTTGATGTTCCCGGTCGACAGGTTGGGTGCGAGGTACATGGTCATGAGGACGATTCCAGAGTCAAAGAGTTTGATGGCTGCATATTCTCCGTTTTGGCTTTGACTCGTGAGTGGTAGTCTGAGATCTTCAGCTGTTTCCGTTTGCCTCACGTAGATGGCGACACCACCTGCAGGACGTTCTGATTCATCGGTACACACGACGGGAACGTATCCTTTGATGAACAATCTCGTCACGTTCCACGTCTCGGTAAAGCACAGCACGTCGACTGCGGTCAGTATGGGGTCCCTTTCTATGTCAAGTGCGTGGGCATTGAGAGAGCGAACGTTGAGGAGGGCAATGGTAAACTCGTTGGAAGAGTCAACGTCTTCTCGCAGAGATCGTTGATACTGCTGCGTCACGGTCGGTAATCGATGTCGGCCTAGACGTTGAAACTCGTTCAGCATCGCCGTGTCCTCGTTCTTGTCTTTATGGTAGAACCGCTGGTCTCCTTTTGCATTGGTGAGGTAGAGGTAGAGGTCATCAGCTACAAGTACCACCATCTAGTAAACACTACAAGAACTAAACGAGAGGTGGCTACATACAGGAGACGGTACCGCCATCTAGTGAACACTGCAAGAACTAAACTAGAGGTGGCTACATACAGGGGACGGTACCGCCATCTAGTGAACACTGCAAGAACTAAACTAGAGGTGGCTACATACAGGCTACAGGGGACACACAGCCCACGCCCTAAGGAGCTTCGCCCCTAAAAAGGGGTGTTTCTGGGTTCGATCCTCAAACCCATATGAATTTCGAAACAATCTATCAAATCGGTGGTTTTCCCTTTTATTTTGCTACTCCCACTGGTTTTATAACACCGGTATTTGGGAAACATTCATGCTCATTTCACTGGAAGAAAACGATGCACCGCGAAATTTCCGCGGTGTGTCGGATTCGCCGTTCCGCGACATGCATCGTCTTGTTTGGCCTGTCACGTGTACGATTGGCGTTTGGGCGCATGAATATAATTGGGCTCTTTAGGCGTGTCAGGATATACGCATCTGAGAAAGATGTCATTTTTGCTTGGATCATCTTGAGCAATCATCACCACCACCACCACCACCACCACCACCACCACCACCACCACCACCACCACCACCACCACCACCACCACCACCACCACCACCACCACCACCACCACAATCATCATCATCATCATCATCATCATCATCATCATCATTATCAGCCTGACTACGTCCATTGCAGGACACAGGCCTCTCCCGTGTTCCGCCAGTTAACTCGGTCCTGTGCTTGCTGCTGTCAATTTAAACTCGCTAACTTCTTAATCTAATCTGCCCACCTAACTTTCTGTCTCCCCCTAACCCGCTTGCCTTCTCTGGGAATCCAGTTAGTTACCCTTAATGACCAGCGGTTATCCTGTCTACGCGCTACATGCCCGGCCCATCTCCGTTTCCTCTTCTTGAAATCAACTATGATATCCTTAACCCCGGATTGTTGTCTAATCCACTCTGCTCTCGTCTTGTCTCCTAAGGTTACACCCACCATTTTTCTTTCCAGTCGTCCTCAATTTAAGCTGTACCCTCTTTGTAAGTCTCCAGGTTTCTGCTCCGTAGCTAAGTACCGCCAAGATACAGCTGTTATATACCTTCCTCTTGAGGGATAGTGGCAATCGACCTGTCATAATTTGAGAGTGCTTGCCAAATGTGCTCCACCCCATTCTTATTCTTCTAGTTACTTCAATCTCGTGATTCTGCTCCGCGGTTATTACCTGCCCTAAGTAGACATAGTCTTTTACGACTTCAAGTGCACTATTACCTATCTCGAAGCGCTGCTCTTTTCTGAGGTTGTTGTACATTACTTTCATTTTCTGCAGATTAATTTTCAGACCTACCTGTATGCTCTCCTTGTCTAACTCCATAATCATGAGTTGCGATTCGTCCCCTGAGTTACTCAGCAATGCAATGTCATCGACAAAGCGCAGGTTACTAAGGTACTCTCCATTAACTCTTATCTCTAACTGTTCCCATTCAGGGCCTCTGAAAACCTCCTGTATCCACGCAGTAAATAGCATTGGGTAGATTGTATCCCCCTGCCTTACACCCTTTTTGATTGGTATTCTGTTGTTTTCTTTATGAAGCACTATGGTAGCAGTTGGTCCCCTGTAGATTTCTTCCAGGATGTTTATATATGCTTCATCGACGCCCTGTTTCCGCCGTGTCTGCATGACTGCTGATATTTCTAATGAATCAAACGCCTTCTCGTAATCGATGAAGGCTATGTATAGTGGTTGGTTATACTCTGAGCATTTCTCTATTACCTGATTGATAGTATGAATGTGGTCAATTGTTGAGTAGCCTGTTCGAAATTCTGCTTGTTCCTTTGGTTTATTGAATTCTAATGTTTTCATATCTCTGTTAGCGATTACCTTCGTAGATAGCTTGTATAATACGGAGAGAAAGCTGATCGGCCTGTAATTCTTCAAGTCCTTGTCATCTCTTTTCTTATGTATTAAGATGATGTCAGCATTCTTCCAAGACCCCGATACTCTTCCCGTCAGGAGACACCTCGTAAACAGGGTGGCTAGGTTTTCTAACACAATCTGTCCTGCATCTTTCAGCGATGTTTGCTCATCGTGCGATGGGCAAACATCGCACGAGATCAGAGTCGAGCCATTCAAGAAAGCGTATGAAAAAGATGCATAAATCAGATACGTTCACGGCACCCGCAGAACCGTAGCCAGAATTTTTTTTTCAGAAGTTCGGTGGTGTCCACTCTCCTTGTTGAGATGTACCCGTACATACACACATCCAAATGTGACAATTTCGAAGGCAAGGGGGGGGGGGAGGGGGGCTTGACCACCCGAGTTTCGTTACGCCACTAACCTCAGCATTGTACGAGAAAGACGACGGGTGTGGTGTTTTTGCAAAACAGGGTGTTTGAAATGCTCCCTGGGAATCGGTTTTTTGCTCTTAACTTGCCGTACGTGTGTTTGTTCAAATGTCATTGAATGTGCTGGCGAGTGGTTAAAAAGAAAGGTTATCCTTACTGACAATTCAATATGAAGAATCATGTAGCTTTTATTGGGTTCAACGGCAGACATTTGCCGGCTATGTCGGCGTTCGGCAGTTACAAGGCGTATCTCCACTGCTGCAATGCAGGTGTCACACGGAAGCATTCAATTGCGATCAGGACCAGTCCGAATAAAACTCGATGCGGATGAAGTGCTGCTTCAGAGTCACACTTGATTGTGATCAGGTCTGATCGGGATCAAGTCGGTCGTGCTCTGCTCATCTCTATTCGGATTAGCGATCAGCGATTTCACTGACATGTCCAGTGATTGGTCCGAATTAGGCTGGCCGTATGGGTGCAAGTAACTTATTGACCACGATCAAAACGTTCAATGCAGGATCTATCCTGATGGCTATCAAAAGTACTCGTGTGGCAGCGGAATAAGTGATACCTAGTCAACTTGCATTTTATTTTGGCAGAGGGGCACGCTTCGGTGGATGTAGAAAAAAGTATGCTTTATGACAGTTGAATGGAAAGAAACAAACAAATACGGAGTGCAGGTAGAGCATTTCATTAGAAGTAACGAGCGATAGACTGTTCGCAAAAAAGGTTTCACGCAAGCACACGACCGTACACTTTTGCGGTAAATAAACAGGGGGCTTGCTAAACATAAATGGGGCACAATTTACTTTATTCAGAAAGATGGAGCGGGAGATTGATTTCGGTCTGATTCAAGTAACTTTCCGACAAGGGCTCCAATAGCTCCTGCTGCGGCACCGGTTACGAGGCGCTCCACTACGGGAACTACTACCGCAACGACTGGATGGATCTGCTCGTTGGTTTCATCGGCTTTGCCTTCGATTCCCTTGAGAACTTCGATGAGTTCGGCACGGTGGTCCACGATGGAACGAGAAAGTTCCTCGGTGAGCAGCTTCCTCGCATCGTCCTTCGTCATTGCCGGCCCACTCAGCGTGGCCGCTTGAATTTCTGCAACGCGAAGTAAGAAATAAAAATAACGTATTCTCAAGTACGCTGAAGTTTATTAGATGCGTAAGTGACGGTAAATCCAGTGTTTCACACAAAAACTTGTCTCTATTCTAAAGACATGCCTCTAGTGTTGAAGCCCCTCACCGAACTACTTTGCGTGCCTCATTTGGTCGAATCGCGAATAAAACAAAATGTACGGCTTTTGAAATGGTTGCTTATACTAGAATAACCCTCGCGTCATATTCGTGTTCAGTGCGGTTCGCAAATTGTGTATTCGTGCACCTTAAAATAAAAGACAATCACTAAAGTCCTGATGCACATGAAATGACGAAAACATTTTGTGTTTAACGCCTTTAACTGTCATCCTGTATCAGCTCATTTCACGCTAGCATAAAGATTTGTCATGAAACTGGATGGTAAACAATCAGACCAAGTCACCTATATTTAACTTCGACTGTGTTTCTAGAAATACTGATAATATTCAAGAAGTTTCAAAGTAAAGGACATAAATGTCAAAAATGCCAAACACTTTTAACTAGAAGGAAAGTACTTGTGGAAACCGGCCGTTAGAGAAATCACGGTTACCTGTAGGCTTAATAAAGACAGATATTGAACTTGAAACCTGCTTTTGATGTAATACATCCCCGTAGGTAAACGGCAGCGCAAAACTGACGTGTAAGAAAAAAACGTGAGGCCATAAACATTTCTTGTACGTACGGCACAAGTGTCCCAGGATGAGGAGAGTCAAAATGGCGTAGGCATTCATGGCGAATGATCTGCGAAGAAAAATAACATGTTACGTCATGCCGCAAATTAAGCGAAACAAAAATGAAACATAGCAAACATGATAAAGAGGTTCTTTTGAAATCTGTATTTTATACGCAATTAGTGTTGTGATTTATTGTAAAGAAAAGGTCGGCCGATTTCATCGTGATTTCATGCTGTCGAGATTCGGAAATATATTCGCTTTTTATGTACGCAAAAATTAGAATTCTCATTCGTTTAAGTTGTTCGCAAGCACTTCCCAGGCCCTAGACTCAGCAGTATTTCAAGCAATATAGCATGTGCGTTAGACGCGGAAAATGTGCAATTTTTATAAGCAACTTCAAGAACTTGATTATAAATGCACCCCACCGACACAGTGACACAGCGCGTGTGTTTAACCGCTGCAGATTTCGGGGGGCACACAAAGAAGTTTATTAGGCGAGATTTTTATAATTGAGTTTTATGTGACATAGCACTAATACCTTATTGAATGTAGAAATAATTACCTCACCTGTGTGAAGCTACCTGGCTCCGAAGTTGGTGAGCTTGATTCTTCCCTCCGTTCCCGCCACCTCAAAGGCCGCTTTGTGGTGTTCGAGAAAAATGCTAAATTTTTATAGCTTTGAACAAGTGGAAAGTTTCTGAACCTTCGTGCAACGTGCAGCAGGTGATAACATCGAACAATAGCCAATGAATATGTCCTGATAATGGAGGGAGGTTCGGAATACTAAAATATTATTTCCACGCTATGGCATATCAGTGCTGCAATAGATGTTTGTCTCTTCTCGGACAATACTTGAGAACGCCCATGTTACAATCCTAGGGGAGTCATAGGGTCGATCTGAAATCTATCATTTATATTATCTTCATGGTTTTGTACCAATATCGGTCGCCACATTGCATTTCGCATTTGTCGTTCATTGACTTACAGATGAGCCGGTATATGAGGAAAATGAATTATTCTTTTGCTTATTTTTTGTAATACTAATACTGGATCACCGGGTATGACGTCTTTTTTCTGAATACAAGTAATAGACCTAAGTGTTTGCAGCCACATTACCACAGGGCAGCTGGGTGCCTATATATGCAAGAATATTTACGTTACTGCTGAATCGTCGCGCGCCATGCGCCATTGTAGCATAATGTTTGAGCTACCTAACGCATGATACCCAGCCTGTGTTACGCAATATACAAAGAAAGCAATATAGCTTGCTCTTTTATGTAACACTTTTTTGTGCTATATGTGATAGCAATTGCTGTTATTCTCTTTTAAGCAACGAAACTTTTTGCCCTTTTTATTCACAAGTGGTCGCTCAACGCTGGGTTCTGTAATGTCTCTATTTCTCTCTCTTGTTCACGTCCTTGTCATACCCCCCCCCCCCCCCCCCCCCCCCACCGATTGGTAGGGTAGCAAACTGGACGTAGCCTTGGTGAAATGAAGCGGGATAAGAAAAGGAGGGACAAATTTGACAAAGACAGGATTCACTAAAATAGCGTGTTTGTCGATTATATTTAGCTGTTGAGTGTAGAGATATGTGCAAGGTTCACCATTTTGGGCGGCGAAAATTCATCGCAGTGCCCTCTTTTCCTCTTCCCGTACTATAAAACGAATGTATGGAGCCGATTTTTTAACCCTCCCCATTCCTCCCCCCTTTATATGCGTACTCTTATGGTTGAATGTTGAAGTGAGCCATTCGTTGTGAGAATCAATAACGATCGTTTATCATATACTGGAAAACGTGCCTTCAACCGATTGGAGACAATGTTCAAAAGTACCTAATCGCTTCCGTTCATAGTTGAACATATTTACGTTGTGCAGAACATTTAGGCGATGTCTAAGCCTCCTCCGTATTTGAGTGACAATTTCTGAATCATAATTAAAACTATTTTCAAGAATAGGAAAAATTTATTATGTTCCAGCTCCATTTGAGCTTCTTTTCTGATTAGTATTCGCTTGTTTGCTTGGCAGCATGTGACAACACTGGTCGGTGCACCAGGAAATACCGTGGCTGTGAAGCGACGGTTGCCATGTTAAGACTCACTGACGGTTACGGGCGCTCGAGTCACGCGGGGTTGTGGAACTTGCGCTAGTTGTGGAATGAGATGCGAAAGGGGAGGGCGTACTCGATTCCCACGAAGGAATGTTTATATCCACCTTTTTGGTAGTGAAAACCTAGTTTGGCAAGCTGTGACCAGAGTAAAAAAGCATCTAAATTGGCCAGTGGCGATCTACCACTCTATCTTCGATGCATAAAACCGCACAGAAAACTTATATCTAAGATTTAGTTCGTCAGAAATATTTATTTACAATTTATAACGCAGGCAGCATGTATACATTATTATTATGCATTATGTAACATGCGTGTTGTATGACATTATTATGCATTATGTAACATGCGTGTTGTATGCGTGTTGTAAAACATAAAAGTAATTAGATTGGGGCTAACTTATTACCAATCAATATATAGCTTAACTAGCCTTTTCCACCTCCTCTGTTGAACTGCGACCGCAGTAATCACAACTAAAGCCGACGTAAGAAACCTCAGCCTCCGCACAATAAACCTGTGGAAACAAAGCGCATACTGTGCTCAGAAAAAAAGTATGCCTAGTGAACCACCTGTGGTATTAAAAAAAATCACCAAAGTACTTATTTTTTAGACCAACCCATTCATTCCAATTGACAGCAAATGCGACATATAATGAACTGCTTGATATACGTATTTTACAATAAAGACATACTCATAGACAATAGATTTCGGAGCCACTCTATAATTATCACAGGATTTTTACACGCAAATGTTCAATTATTGGCCTAGTAAAGACACGTATCGACACCAGCACTGGTATCTATTTGAGTGAAAAATGTTCAACATACAGTGAACGCCCCCATTATGAAGACATCATTGTGAGTGTCTATTGTCTGTCGTTATCTCTCGCTGCACTGCACGAAGGTTGAAGAACCTCGCAATAATTCACAACTATAAGTATTGTGGACGTTCTTCGAACATCATAAAGCTGCAATTGAGTTACCCGGAAGAGAGATTAAAATAAAGCCTGCCATTTTCGTTGCCAGTTACCGCGATACAGGTGAGGTAAATATTTCCTGTCTATATCTCTTAGAGTACAAAAGGATGCTTAAAAGACCAACTCCACCATAATATTTCGAGTGCACAGTAAAATGCTCAGCTATTTCAGACGTGCTAGTAAACTTGTCGGTGTCATTCTATTGCCAAAAACAATTATTGAACAGTAGCGCCAAAACTCACCTGTGTTTTTTCAGGACCCAAATAAAGTTTTTAATGTTATAATCATAGAAATATTGTGCAATGAAGAGCTGCACTGTTGTTTACAAAAGGACCATAAAATATATAAGTTACGAAGATCAAACAGTTTGTATATATGAAAAATATTAGCACTGTAGACATCTAAACACACATCTTTCCTTGAACTTGAATAGATCAGTAAACTTACGACAATAGGTTTCTGATTAGTCTTTAACAGTAAGCCCCCCAAATAAGCGGCCAAAAAGGCGGATACCAAATGCATGCACGTGGGCTTTATTAAACTTCTTTATTTCACTTGATTTGCTATGCGGCATAACCTGATATCCTTTATCCATAAAGTCTTTGCTATGAAGGCTTACTACGTCTTGGCTTGTTTAGTATGGGCCACTTGTGTCGTAAGTACCAACTTTGTTCAATACCTTCTATATAATGGCTCAAACACCCAGCCACATTAGGTTCCTGGTGAAGCATGCCATAATTACAGATAAACCACCGAGTTGGGGGTGTTCAGGTATTCCCAATAAGTCGCCAACAAATGTAAGACATCTTACAAAGTCGTGTTTACTGTTTTTCATAAGAGTAAATACTTGAGTGACTTCATATGCGTTTATATTTGGTTGAAGCAGCCCACATGAGACGAGGATGAAGAAAAACAGGATCACAAAGCAGGTGCTGACTCACAACCAAGCTTTATTAGAAAATAACAAGCAGACGCATACAGTCGTCCATATATGTACTTGTTATTTCCCAACAAAACGCATTTGTGAGTCAGCACCTGTTTTGTGATCTTTATTTTATTCATCCTATTCTTCTTCGTGCTCCTTCTACTAAATATGAAGGGTTATTCAATAACACTTGCGGTGGTGCATCATATATAGTTAACTTTCGATGCAGGGTTATAAATAATAGATATCTTTAGGGGCATAAGTTTGATCTAAGAGGTGTGGTCATCCAAGCGGATAATTAAGAAAATTAGCTGAATGGTTACAGCAGTGCCCCTGAAGGTAAATCACATAAATTCCAAAACCCCCCAAGTTATGAAATTTCCGGTGAAAGATTTGATCAGACTTCTTTGCGGAATGGAAAGAAGTAAGGTTCAGTCGCTTTCTTAGACGCGCAAAAATTATGAATTGTTTTAAATCAGTTGTGTTGTGGTAGAATGATCGGACATGAAGAGATGCTAAAAAGGACTTCAAATTGGTTGTTTTTATTGTATGTTTTGACATATTGTGTTTTGAAATTTTTACCGCCCACAAATGTCAGAAATGGAGGTTCATAGTTGTCTCACAGAAATGACCAGTTTAATATATTTTCTTCAGCAATGGACATTTATTTGAATAAACGGGTCAATGAACAGGCCAAATGATATTCTTCGGCGTTTTTTGTTTGTTTATGGTGAACACTGTTAAGGGTTCGAGGTCGATGGTAGGTAAAGCGGGTTTTCTTTAGGGTAGCTGGCTCTCCACCGTCGTCCGCATAGCCGATCTTCGCCAGTGAGTTGACGCATTATGAGAAAAAGAACTAAGGTTTATTTACATGATAGTTGAAAGATAAAACTGTACAGAGATTCAGCGATTATTTACAAAGAAACTTTGCCTTTTATAGCCCTCCGTATTCTTACACGGAGGTCCGAACAAGGCAGTCACCACTCTCGACACAAATCAGGTGACGAAGTCTCAGTGGTCCACCCTCCAGAAAGGGTGCATATATTGAACCACTCGGCTGGGTGAGAATGTCCAATGGTAGCACGAGCGCACCACACAATGACGCACCCGGCCCACGTCTTGAAGATGTTGAAGGGCGAAGAGGTAGAGTCCGGTGCAGGGGGAAAGTTGAACTCCTCCGGGAAGATGGCCGCTGACCCGAACGTCAGCAGTGGTCCAAGGCAGCGTTTTGCTACAGTGTTGCCAGAAGTTTCCCAAACTCGGCAGGTGTGGTCCTCAATCCCTGAGAACTGTGACTGCGACGCCTTCTTACGCTTCCGGACTGTCGGTGCTTTGGTGACCATTTCGCGTCGGCGCCGACAACCAAGTCGAGAGGTTGACTTTATAAGAACTGCCACAGTGGCACCCTCCCACACTGTTCAAATCCGTTCAACAAAAACGTCTTTTCACGAAGCTTCCATTGTTACCCGACCACTACCTGGAACACCTACAGGACAGCGTCTAGCTGACTGAGCGCCGATGGGGTTGAAAACATCCTAGCAGACCAGCTTACGCACAATGGCGTCTTCCCAGACGAACTTCTGGGCCAAACCTAACAACAATGACTGTGAATAACGGTTGAGCCTATTAGACATTTCACACTCCTATTGTATAATTTCCAG